TTAAAAAAAAAAAAATAATAATAATAATAATAAATGGGTAAAATGAGGTAAAAAAACAAGCTAATTTTTAAAAAGTACTGTTTGAGTACTAATGTTTACATAGTCTTGATAAACAATCAAAAATCTATTAATAAATAATTACTATTTCAGTACTGAACTCTTATAATCTGCAATTTGCTCAATGCCATATTCATGAAACACCTCTAGGTCTTAGAAAGTTTTATCCCTAGCTTCTCGTATTATGTCTGACACATATATGGGGGCAACAGCACTTGTTAAACAAATTAATAAGAGAATTCAACCTGCTGACATGAGGAAAAAAAAAACATAATATACATCATAAACACAACTGGACTTTTCATATAAAAACTGTAAAAAAATAAATCCTCTTTGTGTTTATTTTCAAAAGAAAACCCTTGGAAACTCCTTTGAGTTATCCTCAGACAGAATTTTAGCCTAGAATTGAGACTATTATAATTCTAACTTAATATCATTATCACTCTAAATGAGACTAAAGGAACCCAACGTCAAGATGAAGACAATGCCACCCAATTTGTTGCACAGACATCACAGACTTTCCCAATAGCAGCACCAATAAATTTTGGACTTTATAATTGTTTGTGTGTGCCCTGTTCACTACAGGATGTTTAGTAGCATTCCTACACAGTTGTAATAACCAAAAAATGTCTCCAGACATTGCAAAATGTCCCTGGGGGGGCAGCACGGTCCCTGGTTGAGAGCCACTGACCTGGAGAGGATATACTAATTTTAGAATTAGAATTAGAATTTAGAATTCTAGTATAGACAATACTCGAAACCTTTTTTTTTTTTTTTTTTGCTGAGGAAGATTTGCCCTGAGCTAACATCTATTGCCAATCTTCCTCTATTTTTGTATGGGGGTCACTGCCACAGCATGGCTGCCAACGAGTGGTGTAGGCCCACGCCTGGGAACAAAACCCGGGCCTCCGAAGCAGGGTACACTGAACTTAACCACTAGGCCATGGGGCTGGCCCATCTAAACCTTTTTTTTAAACATTAAAAAAATACACATGCCTCCAAACAGTGGCCTTACATACTTTGTCCAGCAATGTTTTTAAAGAGAATTCTAACTAATTACAGTCAGAAGTAAACTTTAAAATAGTAAACACTAAAAATTGGATATATTCCATGAAAACTACTAAATATTAAAGTCTGGCACATCTGGGCCTTGTATTTAATCAAATATCAATAATTTGCTATCACTGTATTTGGTGGGGAAGGACAAGAAAAGACAAGCCAACCAAGAGTATGGCTTTAATGTATACCTGTTCAAAGAAAGGTTTTACGGCAGAAAAGGGAACCTAAGTTATTCACGCAAGTTTTAGGGTCTCTTTCACCTTTGAAATACTGCTCTACCATTTCCTCAGTAATAGAAAATATCATTATATAATGAAATAATGTATTTTCACTAGTATTTCAGAGATCATGTATATAAACCTCACATGGATTTTTATACAAATAATCGGGTAATTGGGCCATTTCTCTAGTGGTGCAGAAGAGATGCTAGAATCCTGAAATGATATGTTCGATTTTGTGTTAAGTCCGTAAACACAAACTACAAAATCTAATTTCTATGCTATTTTCTTTTGCTTACCTTGATAAGATATCTGGTAATATCCCTCCCAGCAATATCCAGTCTCCTGGTAAGGTGAGGGAGAGAAAAGCCTTCATATACTGGGCAAATGTGAGTTACACCATCTCCAGAGTCCACTACTACTCCAGTCAATAAACCTGTGTTAAGAATCATGAGGTTTTAAATAAAAAGCCAAAACAGAAAAATCAAAGCCAGCAAATTTCAAATAGGATAGAAGCCAAACTAGAAACTTCACCAATTGGAATGGTCTAGAAGCCAGTATTTCTTTATTATTTGCTTATTTTGATGTTTGTTTCTGATACACAGACACTAAAGTCAGTGTGTTCTCACATGTCTCTCGTGAGACTCTTAGTCTAATCACGTGCTACCTCAGGAGAAGGGAAGAAACAGACCTTGAGACCTAGGACTGAAGAGCACAACGTGTTCTTAAAGCTCAGTACAATTCTTTTTTCTTTCCAACTTAATCATGATCCCTGAATTCCCCTGAAGTGAAATTTTCTAAAACATCACAGATAACTTTTATGAAAACCATTGTGAAAGTTAAATAGGACACAAATTGATAATGTGGAAATAATCTAGTTCTTTATCATTATTTTTGTCCTACAGTATATTCAAACTGTGTTGTTTTGGAAAAACTCCTGTTGATACTACATAGCTAGAAATCTGAGAACAATTAATCTTGGCTAGCCAAAGGATCACCTCAATTTTATTCACCAGAAACCAGACAGACAATGTCAGTTAAACCTTATAATAAAAGAACAGCAAGGAAGCTGCCTTGTTTCCCATACGTGCTATTTAAAAGTATAAATGGCTGCAAAAGTTAGTGTTTCACCTTTTGCACCAGCGTTAACTCGGGGGGGAAAAATAACCTTTTTCTAATAGAATGTTTTTAACCAAAAAAAATTTTAACCAGAATATGCATTACCTATAACTTGCTTAAGCATTATTTTATTGTTTTCCCATCCCTGAACAGGCTCTCTCCCTCTCTTTCTTATTAATACAAACTTGCATGCATTATAGCATCTAATTGTAATGATTTGTCTTTAAATACATTTATTCAAACCACCTCCTTTTGAGGCTGATATAATTTGTCTTTTCTTGATTCATGTTGTAAGTGTCATAAAAATCATATACTGCCTTGTAATGTTGCATTCTTTTAAACAGGAGACTTTCCATTGCAAAAAAAAGAGAAATCCACAACATCATTAATTCAAAAATACTCCCAGTAATAGCAACTAAAGCAGGGATTTACATTTTGTTTTCCAAACAGATCTTCCTTCTCATCCAACCTCACCTTATTTTCTGCCTCTCCCACCAGGTTACCCTGTACCCATCTGACCCATTTTCAGTGCCACATCCTTTTGTCACTGGATTATCCATTCTTTCCACTTCAATTCCTATGGATTCTTTAAGGCTCAATCTAGTTCTTACCTTTTCATTTACACCTTCCATGACCACTCTAACCTTCAGCCCAGATTCCTTTAATTGCAGCTAATCCCCTCAAACCTGTCTGTAACATGCACCCAAGCACACCTGCCTAACTCACGATGTCACTTCTCTTATTCAAAAAACCTTCCATGGCTCTGAATGCTTCTTCCTACTTTTTTTTTTTGTTTAACTGGTAGCACTAGCCACCTTGTTTAGAAGGAGAATTTCACTATGGGTTAGAGTTCTTTTTTTGTCTTCCTCTATTTTGTATGTAGGTCACCACCACAGCATTGCCACCAGAGTGGTGTAGGTCTCTGCCCGGGAACCAAAGCCAGGCCACAGAAGTGGAGTGCGCTGAACTTAACCATTAGGCCACAGCACTGGCCCCTAGAGTTCTTTTGATTAACATTAGACTATCATTTCTCAAAATTAAGGATTCGACAGTTAAATAAAAATAGTTAAATATCAGAAATTAAGAGAGGATATCTTCTCATTGGATGAAAATAAATTTATGAATATTGCTAGAAAAATCTGTTCAGGTCAATTTTATTCAAATACAATTCAAACAAAAATTCATTTCAGCAGAACTGTCCCATCCTCACCCCATAACTACAACTATTACCACCACTTTCAAAGCTTAGATTCAAAGTTCTTAATATCTATTTTTTTCAAAGTATTTTCTTTTTTTTTTTTTTTTTTTTAAGATTTTATTTATTTTTATTTTTTCCCCCCAAAGCCCCATTGGATAGTTGTGTGTCGTAGCTGCACATCCTTCTAGTTGCTGTATGTGGGACTCGGCCTCAGGATGAATGGAGAAGTGGTGCCTCGATGCGCACCCGGGATCCGAACCCGGGCCACCAGCATCGCAGCGCGCGCACTTAACCACCAAGCCACAGGGCCGGCCCATTCAAAGTATTTTCTAAAATAATTTCTGAAATTTATTTTTTTTTTAAATGAAATAAAATTATCTAGAACCAGATAAGTACTCTCTGTAAATTAACAAGTGATTTTTGATTCCTTCTTCAAAGGAGAAATTACTCGTAGCTGGACTGTAATCGCCTTAAGAGCAAAGAGACCATGTCTAGCTTACTCTCCTCCATATCCTCTGCACAAACAGAGTGCAAGGCACATGCAACACTTGGTGAATGAATAGAGTTTCTTTAAAAATTGAATTCCCCCAAGTAAGTATTTGCTATGTATCTATATGTAGTACTAACGACAGTTTAAAAACCCAATATGCATTTTTACAAGGTGATTTTTACTACTCCGTGTGTAGAATCAGATGGATCACATAATATTAAAGCTTGTTTTATAAGTACTCTGTGATACATGCTGCTTGAGTACTAAGTACTGAGTCCTAAGGCTTGAGGCTTAGCGCCAGTGTCACCTCTTTCAGAAAGCTTCTCTGACATGCTGAATGAAAATGATCTTTTCTATACCTTTACCCACTAGACTCTAAGTTCCTTGAAGGCATCTTTACATTTCAAGTGCCTAACACTCTGTGGCACATATCTGACACCCCCATAAGTCCCCAAAAAGACCATCCGAATAGAAAGAGCTCTCCCGACATGGCCAATATTTTATACAGGGAGGCAGCTGCTAATGGCAGCACCAAGAAAACATAGTAGTCCCCTCCATTAAATCCACCTCAAAAACTAGGAAGGCATTCCCAAATGTCTACCTTCTCCTTCGTAGTTAATTTATTACGTATTTGACAAGTAGGATTTTAAACTACCCCTTTTGGAATCTCTGTTATTGTTTTTTAACACTGCCAATTCTGAGGACAAATTCTGTGTTCATTCTCTACTGCATAAAAAATTTTTACTCTAAAACAGCCTAAAATAGGGAACCTCCCACTTTAAAAAAATTGAGAAGTCTGTTTACCTTAAATCATTCACTGTTTAATAAAAGAAATAAAAATGTATATTTTTATTTGATAAATATTACAAATTGTGAAAATATTTCAGTAAATATTTGAAAATATTTGCATATATACATAAATACTGTGCTTTTCTGGGATTTACAACTTATTGAAAAGTCAAATTCCTTTGACATAAAATGTACTTAACAAATGTCTGCTAAATTGATTATTCTGAAAGTCAAGCTTCACCTACCTTGAGCATACAAAGTCAGAACTGCCTGGATGGCTACATATACACCAGAAAACTGATAAGTTTCAAACATTACCTGAAAATGCAAAAGGAAAGAAAAATATATTGGTATTTAGAATTTATATAACAAATATTTATATGCTTTTTTGATGGTCACAGAGTGGATTAGTTGCCCAAAACAGAAACAAAGGGACCTAAAAGAGTTCACCAGTCTCTTCAGCTCTTCTTGCCTCTATTAAGTCCTGCTGTCACAGACCTCCAATTTTGGGGACAGATTTTTGGATACATACTGAGTCCTTAAGCATTTCATTAGTGCTACAAAGCAAAGAGTTCTGAGTATTTTAGTTAATGGCTAATTAGAGTGAAAGAGCTTTCTGCATTTGAACAAGCCTTTCTTTTTCTTTTTCTTTTCTTTTTTGTTTTGTTTTTTGCTGAGGAAGATTCGCCCTGAGCTAACATCTGTTGCCAATCTTTCTCTATTCTGTACGTGAGCCACAGGCACAGCATGGCCACTGATAGAAGAGTGCTGTAGTCCGTGCCTGGGAACCAAACCTGGGCTGCTGAAGCGGAGTGCACTGAACTTAACCACTAGGCCACAGGGGCTGGCCCTGAACAAGACTTTCTTATAATTGATTAGCCTTAAGGGAAATAACTTTTAATTCAAAGACAAACTATAGAAATTGCTTAACTGCTGACCCTCCCATCCCTCTCCCTCAACCTAGGCCAAGACTGTGGCTCTACTTCCAGCAGTTAAAAGAAAAAAAAAAGTAGTAGTAAAATGTTAGGGCAGGAAGACAAAAATAAACGCAGTTAATTCCTGATTGTTGGCAGATATAGAAACTGCCCAGCTGCTGAGCCCAGCCTCCCTACTTGAGCCCCAGCTGCCACTCTACTCTCAGCTGAACTACACTGGAGGGAGGAGGAGTCTCCTTGTGCCCTCTCTGGTCACAACCATGCTCATTCTCTGCTGTCCAGGTTGGCTGGGAACATCCTGCAACACTTCTTCTGTCTTCTACAGTGAGCACTCCTTGACTGGCAGAGCTGACTACCACTCTGAAAATCTAGATGTTTAACAATTTTACAACTGACCACAATGAGAATTGCACAGAATTTAAATTTTACACCTCTGAAACACACACTCACTAATTAAGCATCTAGGTATTCTAACTAGAATTCTGTTCCATCATCCTTTATTCCCCCTCCACAGAGATGAAAATGGAAGAGTGAGGCTATATTTGCATTTACCAACTTCAAAGTCTGTTAGAACTGTTTTTACTTATAAGATCATTAAAAAGTATTTGTAGGGGCCGGCCCAGCGGCGCAAGCGGTTAAGTGCGCGCGCTCTGCTGTGGCGGCCTGGGGTTCACCGGTTTGGATCCCAGGCGCGCACCAACGCACTGCTTGGCAAGCCATGCTGTGGTGGCGTCCCATACAAAATAGAGGAAGATGGGCATGGATGTTAGCCCAGGGCCAGTCTTCCTCAGCAAAAAGAGGAGGATTGGCAGATGTTAGCTCAGGACCGATCTTCCTCACACACACACACACACACACACACACAAAGCATTTGTAGTACTAAAACAACTTTCTGGATGAGATTAAAGAAGCGCATTAGCAGTCATTGCCAAATTTGCACTCATAAGTAAGAGTATTAAAATAAGGTAAGACCTTTTTGCACAGTGAGACCAATTCTTGTCATTTTTGCAGACTAAAAAAAAAAAAAATACCCATCCTAGTTTAATAGCTAGTCAGTGGAAAAGGCATCCAGGTATAATGTCATCTCCTTAGCTTTTTATCTGAAAGAAAACATGGTTTTCAGTCTGACGACATGTTTCTTTCTGATAGGTTTCCGTGTGTAGGAACCTCTTGGTTTAATGCAGATATCTCTGCACTCTGATTTTGTAATGCGTTGCTAAAAATAAATAGCAATTACAAATGACTACTTACCATCACAAATTATTAGTTGTTGTAAATAATTTATAAGGCGTAAAATGCAATTAAAATATGAACTAATACAATAAAGCCCATCTTTCACAGGTTTAGGGGTGGCTATGAGGAAAAAAAAGTATTAAAATATGAACCAAAAAGGGTGATATGGATTCTTTAACTAAAACCATAATCTCAAATTTTTAAAACCCCTTATACAAAAATTAAGTTTTAATCTGGACTTTTAAAATATTGTCTAACAACTCTTCTAAACCCCTTCGAAAACTTCCATCAACATCTAAACACAGAGTAAAACAAAATATGTATATTAAGTAGTAACTGGAAAGTTACTAAAATACAAAAAGTTATTAAAAGTTTCTACCTCATATATAACAAAAGGAAAGACAACCTTGAAAAGTTACTCATCTAAACTATTAAGGATGTAGATTTCTTGCTCTGTAACTGCTTACACTTTATTAGCCTTTTCAATCTCCTTTTGCTAATCCCTCCTATCTCCCTGGTCCTTAGCCTTCTCATCCACTGTCTACTCTCGCTTCTTTGGTGAACCATATTATCTGTATCCTGATGACTCCCAATTTTATATCTCCAGCCCCAGACTTTTCTCCTGAACTTGATCTTATATATTCATAACTCTCTACTTGACATTTCTCCTTAGATGTCTAATGAGGACCTGAAACTTGACATGTCCAAAACTGAACTCGTGATCCATTCCCCCCAAATCCTATTCTATTTATCCTAGTCTTTCCCCACCTCAGTAACCCCATCCTCCAGTTGCTCAAGCAAAACCTCTGGAGTCATCCCCAGCTCCTCACTCTATTACCCACATCTAATGCATGAGAAAATTCTTTGGCCCTATCTTCAAAACAGATCCACAACTGGCCACTTCTCATTACTCCCACTGCTATTACCCCTAAACCTAATCATTATCTTTTGCCTAGATAATTGAAAAAGACTCAAAACTGCTCTCTCTTCTACCCTTGCCTCCTTATGGTCTATTCTCAACACAGCAGCTACAGAAACCTAAATCTGAGCCCATCCCTTCCCCGTAACAGCCCTTCATTTCACTCGGAATAAGAGTCTAATTCCCAGCCGGCCCTGTGGCGTAGCAGTTAAGTGCGCGCACTCTGCTGCTGGCAGCCTGGGTTCGGATCCCCGGCGTGCACTGACGCGCCGCTTGTCAGACCATGCTGTGGCGGTGTCCCACATAAAGCAGAGGAAGATGGGCACAGATGTTAGCTCAGGGCCAGTCTACCTCAGCAAAAAGAGGAGGACTGGCACGGACGTTAGCTCAGGGCTGATCTTCCTCACGAAAAAAAAAAAATGTTTCATAGAGTCTAATTCCCTATGAGAGCTTACAAGGCCCTAGATGATCTGGCCCCATTACTTTTCTGACCCATCTCCTGTTGTTCTCCTACACTGGCTTCCTTGCTGACTCTCTAACATGCCAGGCTTGTTCTCATTTTAACACCTTTACACTGGCTACTCCCTTTGTCTGGAAAGCTCTTCCCCTGTACATCCTGGCTAACTCCCTTATTCTGTCTTTGTTTAAACATCACCTTCTCACAGAGGTCTTCTACCACACCCTATGTACAAATGCAAGCTCCCCCATGCCACATCCCCCTTAACTTCCTATTTTTTTTCCTCTTTCATTTAGCATCTATTATCGTCTAACAAACCATTCAATTAACTCATTTTTTCTCTTTTTTGGTCTGTTTTTCCCTGCTAGAATGTAAGCTCCATGACAGCAGGATTTTGTTCTGTTTACTGATATATCCTACTTAGAAATAATGACTAGCATATAGTTAGGTGCTCAATAAATAGGATCTGGGGGAGAACAACAGTTATTTTTATTCCTTTTATCCTTAACAACAACAGTAAGATAAAGAAAGAATATTTGCTTTAACATCACATCACAGAACACATATATGCACACCCCATCTAAAAACTTACCTCTACAATCTTCTCTCTGTTTTTGGTTGGGTTCATAGGAGGTTCTGTGAGTAAGATTTTACAATTTCTGGTATCTATGTTAAGTTTCTCTGGTCCAAATGTATAGTCCCACAGGTGTTTCATGTCATCCCAATTTCGTACTATGCCATTTTCCATAGGGTAGTTAACTTCTAACATTGAGCGTAATTCACTTGCCTCATCACCAACCATAAGATCCTAGAAAATCATAATATCAAAGCTTTAGACCAGTCACATTTTTACATAAAATACCTTCAGAAAATCATACTCCTATGATATTTCGGAAAACTTGGGAATAATTAATCTTAATCTTTCTGGCACTTTCAGATAAAGTTCTTCATTCTACAAGTTAAAAAAGTCTTTTCTTTCAAGAACAATGCCCTGCAAAGTTTAATCATGTATATAAATTTTTATGCATAACACGGTTTAAATCAATAAATTGACCTTACCTTTAATACATATGTTTCCAAAAGAAGAGTATTAGCACAAATAAACCCCACATTTTCATATTTTGGAGGGTTTTGTATGAGGTTTCATCTGTTTCTTTTGCTCAAATGTTCAAAAAATAAGGCCTGTGATATGTGAAATAGCACATCAGGGAAAAAAAAAAACGTGTAGAAAAATGCTAAATGCATGCAGCACATCTTTGTATTAAATATCAAAATGATAAGTGTAAGTTCTATAAAGCATAATGAAAGAAGCAAAAAATGATTCTTTATTACACTATAATAATGCAGACACGCACCAAATAATTTGTAAATTTCACAAACTTCTACTTACATATGCCTGAATTAGAACTGAAATTAAGTTTCTACATATGCCTCACCAAGATGAATGAGAATTTGTAGAGATACAAAAAATTAAAACACAGGGAAACAATTCTTTAAAATTATCTCGTGAGCAACATTTTCAATCTTAAAGTGTAATACTAGAAAACTACACTATCACACATGAAGCAGAATACTCACAAGTCTTGTCTCCAATGAGAGCATACTTAAGATGACCCACATTTGAAAATTTTTTATGTATAATAAAGCTAACGATGTCCAAGAACTTAAACTTATTTTAGAAATCAGCTAGTCAAGATATTAAATAACCCTAATTTCTACATGAACTGATAAATTAAAAAAAAACTAAAATCAGAAATAGCTACTATTTGCTACAATACCTTAAGTTTAAAACATAGTGAAATGAAACGAAACAGCAAAATTAACATAAGATGTCTTAAAACAGAGGTTTAAATATATATAAATTTAAAACTTTTAAAAATAATTTAAAAAAAGATCAGAGGTAAAACCAGGGTGACAACTCTATTAAAAAAAAAAAAAAAACACGACAACAGATTTCTGGAAAATCCACTGAAAGCAACAACCAAAAGGGAAAACAAAGTTAAAGCAGATGCTAGAAATGTTCACTGAAACTTCTCTGTTGCAACTAATTTCTTATAAAGTTAATTTACCATAACTTAATACTCAAATTGCTTAAATATTAACTTTTTTAGAATCATCTGATATCATAATGCAAAACAAAGTCTGTATCTGTGAACTCTAATAACATGCATATGTTGAATTATTTAGGGAGAAGTACACTGATACTTTGAAATACATCAAAAAACAAGATAGACTGATGGATGGATAGATGGATATGGGATACAAATATTAATGTCAAAATCTAGGTGATGGGTATATGGGGTTCACTGTAAAATTCTTTCAACTTTGCTGTATATTCTAAACACTCCTTAATAAAATGTTACGGGGGAATCTATATCTGTAAGTACACATATTACTTTTGGCCATTAACAAATACAATTTAATACACAACTTTGTTACTTATTTTCCTCTAGCATATATCTTTCTTTGTGTTGTACAAGGTAATAAATTAGATAATTAGATGGCTTATACAATCAATATGCATTCACAACTATATTTCAACAAATTTAGAATAAGTCTGATCTGATTTCATCAGAATATTTACTTTTTATTCCATGCAAGAATAGGGGCTTACATATGGCAACCCAACGCCAACTAAAAATAAAAGCCTCACATACCTACTTCTAGGATATACACACTATAAAGGATTAACTGAAAGAAACATCTGGCATTGAGTATCTTACCATCCCTATGAACAAAGAGGACATTTAAAATGGAAGAAAACAAGTATTAACTTATTAGATTAGTGCAAAATTTCTTGAATAGCTCAAGTTACCTAAACTTATCTGTATCTAAAATTTTAATTAAAGAATCCTAAAACATATAATCTTCCCCAGAATATTTCAACTTCCCAAAATCAAAAATGCTAAGAGCTTTATGTAACTTGCCCTCATACCTCAGAACCCAGTTATAAGCAATGAGATCAGGCTTTAGATTTTTACCACCCACCTCATCACTGGACCTCAAGCCTAAGCCATCACCTATTATCTGAAAGAATGAAAAATTATAGTAACTGTCTGAGATGCTGTTTCAAAGGCATTTATATTTTATGAAAAGCAAGCAGTGTAGACTATATTTGCTCAGAATCATTTTGAACAATGTCACCTCAAATTGGAAAATAGAGCAAAAACAAATTGAAAACCACAATTAAATCCCTAGAAGGAAATTCCATAAAAAACATTTGTTAAATTAAGCCTCCACTGTTCTCTACAAGAACACTCTTTTCTTAATCTTCTCAGGATTTTAACACAAATGCACAATCTTTTATTATAATAAATACAGAAATTTTCACTTTTAAATGCTTTTGTTTATTCAAAAGAAAACTCCACAAAGTTACTGTTACAAGTTAAAATATATATCACTAGAAATGCCTGATATTCATCTTTGTCAAAGCTAACAAATAACATTAAAAACAAACAAAGTTGAAAATACCTACTACAGAAGCATTCAGATTACTGCAGAAAAATATTTAATAAAAGAGTCACTTGTCTGGGATGCTCCCAGTAAGCTTCTAGCTCAAAAGAAAAAGGTACCACACAATAGTCCTTATTTAGGGGGAAAATCTATTGCTTATGGAAAAGTCTTACAAGACTTCAGCTTTTTCTTATTTATCCTCAGATACTGTTATAAAAACTGCTCATGAATAGGATGATATATGAAACAAGTCATTCTCTTTTCCTCCCCTTCTACTATCTACAGTTCATTGCACATTAAAATTTTACTCAGTTTATTAAAAACACATATGTTACTGTACTGGATGCAAATACAGATACAGCTATGATAGGCGATGTTCAGTTTAACATTGGTCAATAAAGCGGATTTATCCAAATGTAACAACTTCACCCCAATTTCCTGGATCACACACATCCTAAATGAAGCCACTTGGTTTCTAATATTATGCACACCACACTCCATTTTAATTATAACATTCATCTACAAGAAACACAAGGAAAACAATTCAAAACTATGTTAGTAATTAGTTCTAGTTTGGTCCATTGTATGCAATCACGAAAGTAAAGGACTTAATTAGTTGCTACCAAATTGAAGCAATGAAAAAGGTTAAAAATAAAGTATTTAAAATTAAAATATGGAATTACCCCCCTCCCCAATACTAAAGGGACACAAAACAACAACTACTGTCCCACCAAGCAAAAGTGGAAAACAAACAGAGAGCATGTGTGTAACCTCACTTACCATCTTTTTGTTATTCTACTTCAACAGGTCAAGAAAGGTGAAGAGAGAGAAGGTAGAAGTAAGAGTCAGAAAAGGCCTAAATAAAATCCTCACTGAAATTTTTAAACATACAAGCAATAAAGACAAATTAGGTTGAGGTCAGATGCAGTACTACTATACTTTACGGAGTTAATAATTAGGGCCAAATTAACACGGACAGTTATTACTCCTGAATGAAAATTAACTCATTAAACAATTTAAATTTCCAGTTTTTTTATTCTACCATCACATTTTAGCTAACAAGACACAAAAAGTATAAGTCAATTCTTTTGACTAAGCATAGGAATTCCAAAAAGTCAAATTTCTTTAATTCATTACTGAATTTAAGAACCTTAATCAAAGAAAATAAATGATAACAAAAAGGTGTAGCTGAATAGGTAGAGGGTAAGTTTAGGGTTGTTTTTCCAAGCTCTAGTACTCAAGTTAAATTTGACACAGGTCTCTTTTACTGTTTTCTACTGGAAAACCAATTTAACTTGAAAGACTTAAAAGATTGACCAGATTGAACAGAACTGAGCCAACAGAACACAGAATGACAAACCATACAAGCAAATGCTATTGGGCAATTCTTAAGCAAATGTCTTATTAGAATATTGACTAGTTTCGTTTCTATCACTTGGCCTTAAAAAGCAAGAAAGTGGAAGTGAAAAGATATGTCATTATTTGTGCCTATGTTGGCAAATAAAAATGGCTGTATGTGATGTATCTTAATACATCAAAAATGTTATTATCCATAAAGTATATTAAAAAACCATTCTTCTTTAAAAGTCTGATACTGAATAAAAAGTATGACTTCAACTTCATTTAAAAAGTTTATCCTTATCACTATTACTAGCTAAATTTTAAGTCAAAGTTCATTTAAGATTGAATTCAATCAGAATGAAAGGAGTTCACAAAAAGAGAATAAGGAATCTCGTAAATTTCCCAAAAGAAAAGACCCTAAAAGAAAACACTCTTATATCGAGTGTCCCATTTGAGTATCTGTAACATAACAAAACAGAGGCCAGAATAATTCCCTATTTTAAGTCTTTAAAAAATTTTCTAGTCCCAAGAGCAGAGAGCTACCAAGTAGCAAATCTCTACCACCTATTACCACCTTCCTAGATATCTCAAACAAATGTCCTAAAGAGGTACACTCTAACTCACATATTTCAAATGACTCCTAATCTAACAGTTCACTGAAGTCTTGCCCAAGACTGTCCAGATAAGACCAACAATGCTAGCTTGTTCACAAATAATTCAGTTAAAGAGCCCCTAAATTCTACCACATTTTGTAAAACCTGATCCCTAGGCCACCTGAAGAATGTAAGTCAATTGGTGACCACAGTCCTTTTGATTCTATTTCTTTTTTCTTCTAAAATATCATAATGCCAACTTGATTTCCAATCCCTTTGATGTGGGAGAAAAATCTATCATCCTTAACCCTGAGTCTCTCATGTTAAGTACAGTGAGTATACAATGACAACCTTCCCTCCTCTCTCCTTATAGTAAGACAAACAATGCAAGCCCAAATCAAGACTTGTACGGCTTTGTCCTGCACGTTACGGAAATCAATTACATTAGTGAAAGGAGGAAATAATAAGATTTACAGCCTGTGTTTTCCTGACTAGCCATATAAAAAAGTAGGGGGATCAAGCTATGAGAACATGAAAAGGAAAAGTGTAAGGTTCCAAAGAGACACTAACATATAATGACAAATATATGGAACTGAAAAACATAAATATACCAGGCTGATTTCTTTTAAAAATTATATTATGTAATAGGACTTGAAGTCACTAATACAGTATTCACATCAATATAAAGATCTTAAGTATTTTACTCCATTCAGAGAGTAATGGCATCAAGCCATATTTAAAGTCAGATGAAATTAACTTCAGTTTTTGTGCCTTTCTTCAGGTGTTGATATAAATTAAAAATATAAGAAATTCTGCCCTCCCCCTTTGCTTTTCATGGCATCATTTTTAAAACTACTTCATTCAAAGAACACTTCACAGATTTTGATCCTCATTTATCAATAAATAAAATATTACCTTGATTTCAATGTTTCCCACTTTGGTGGTTGATCTGATAATAGGTCTTCCAACCAAAGCTGGGAAGATGTGTTCTGGAAAGTTAGATCCCGCATATCCACACTTCACAAACTGGAAGAGAATAGTAAAAGTGGGTTAGTGTCAAAGTATTTACTATATCCATTTAAAAACAGTACCTGAAAAATACCACTCTGCATTTATACCATATTTTAAACTTATGACGCTTTCAAATTACCCAAAGTAGTCACCAAATCTATCATATCTCCTTTTAATTCCTTTACGGCATTGACTACTACTGGAGTTCATGTTTATTTACTGGTTAACTGTTTATTTAGTGCCTAAGTCCCCCCACAACAGAGCAAGCCTTAGGAGAGCAGGGAGCTAAAGCTGAGCAGCTCACGCTGGAGCTCAATGCCTCGAATAGGTCCTGGCACACAGTGGTCACACAAGAAGTATCTGCAGAATGGACAAATTCACTCAACGAATGCTAAGTTTTTTTTTTGTGAGGAAGATCAGCCCTGAGCTAACATCCATGCTAACCCTCCTCTTTTTGCTGAGGAAGACCGGCTCTGAGCTAACATCTATTGCCAATCCTCCTCCTTTTTTTCCCAAAGCCCCAGTAGATAGTTGTGTGTCATAGTTGCACATCTTTCTAGTTGCTGTATGTGGGACGCGGCCTCAGCATGGCCGGAGAAGCGGTGCGTCAGTGCACACCCGGGATCCGAACCTGGGTCGCCAGTAGCGGAGCGCGCGCACTTAACCGCTAAGCCACGGGGCCGGCCCACTAAGTATTTTTACAAAGACAAATGTCAGAAAATGAACAGAACTAAAGCTTCAATTCTAAAGCAGGCTTTCACTCATCTCTGGCAATTCACTTAATCAACCTCGTTTTCCAAAATGGGAAAAATCAAATGGCATGTGGACTAGCACTATGTTAAAAGAAACACTTATTAGGCTTTTTTGGCTATTTACATTTTTATGTTTAGACAAATGTATTCATTAACACCAGGAAACATAATTTCATATTCAGATAGTGTACTTCTCCAATGAGGGCATATCACTGATTCTGATAATACTTCCATTTTATGCATAAGAAACTGATATGCTAAGAGCTTTAACAACTACAGTAAAACTGAAAATAAAACCAAGGGTTTTTTAATTCTTATACCAATAATATAGATTGTTTAGTCTTATTTTGAAGAGCAGACATTCCAAGGAAAAGGCAATTAAAAATCCAAGGATGGGAGGAGGAAGCTATACAAGAAAGGAAATGTAATTACAGTATCTGCCCTCCCCCTTAAAAGTCTTTATTCAATGGAAGTCACATTGTGCAAGGATTTGTGTGTCTACTGATGAATCTCAAGTGCCTGGAACAGTGTCTGGCATGTAGTAAATGCATATTAAATAACTGATCAATAAATATTAAAAGTTTTGCTGTTGATTTGAGAGTATGATATTATGATTATATTAATATAAAGAATATGTTTAAAATATTGAGAAAAACTCTATTGTTCCATGGCTCCAGGCACCATACATTCTCTTAGAAGAATTAAGGAGAAAAACAGTATCTGACTGCAATGCATGACAGTAATAACACAAAGATGGACAGAAACTATTAACCTAACCCTTGACAGAAAGCTACTATGTACAAGGAACTGTTGTGTTTGACGGTGGTAAAACTTAGCACAAGCGTTAAACTGACTTTTTAAAAAATTGGTGTCATAATAGTTTATAACATTGCGAAATTTTAGTTTACGTTATTATTTGTCAGTCACTATATATATGTGCCCGTTGACCCCTTATGCCCACCCCACAACCCTCTTCCCCTCTGGTAACCACTAATCTGTTCTCGATGTCCATGTATTTATCTTCCACATGAGTGAAATCATATGGTGTTTGTCTTTCTCTGTCTGGCTTATCTCACTTAACATAATACTCTCAAGTTCCATCCATGTTGTTGCAAATGGGACGATTCTGTCTTTTTTTACGGCTGAGTAGAATTCCATTGTATATATACACCACATCTTCTTTATCCATTTATCAGTTGATGGGCACTTGGGTTGCTTCCACGTCTTGGCTAATGTGAATAATGCTGCAATGAACATAGGGGTGTGTAAATCTCTCTGAATTGTTGATTTTAAGTTCTTTGGATAAATACCCAGTAGTGGTATAGCTGGGTCATATGGTATTTCGATTTTTAGTTTTTTGAGAAATCTCCATACTGTTTTCCATAGTGGCTGTACCAGTTTGCATTCCCACCAACAGTGTATGAGGGTTCCTTTTTCTTCACATCCTCTCCAACATTTGTTGTTTTTTGTCCTGGTAATTATAGCCATTCTAAGAAGTGTAAGGCGATATCGCGTAGTTTTGATTCGCATTTCTCTGATGATCAGAGATGTTGAACATCTTTTCATGTGCCTGTTGGCCAACCGTATATCTTCTTTGGTGTCTTCTTTGGTATATCTTCTTTGGAAAAGTGTCTGTTCATATCCTCTACCCATTTTTTGATTGGGTTGTTTGTTTTTTTGTTGTTGAGTTGTATGAGTTCTTTATACATTTTGAAGATTAACCCCTTATCAGATATATGATTTGCAAATATTTTCTCCTAGTTGGTGGGTTGTCTTTTTGTATTCTTCATAGTTTCCTTTGCCTTGCAGAAGCTCTTTAGTCTGATCAAATCCCATTTGTTTATTTTTTTCTTTTGTTAAACTCACTGACTTTTGACTAACCTTCCAAAATATAAAATTTTTATATTTCAAAGATATCTACAACAACTTTGTTGGAAATGATGTTGATGAACCACATTTAATTATAAATAGCATAGAACATTCCGCCATCCAGAATTTCAAGTCTTATAAATAGAGCTTTTAAAATGTTAGTCATGACTTAAGCAGATTAAAGCTATTTTTATGAAAAATCTATCTGAAATTAGGACGTTTCATATTCCCAATCCCAACTGAATTCCTATCATCTCAGTTCATGTTCACATTTTAGAACCTTCATAAAACATACTACTCAGGTATGTTTTCTTCCAAACCCACAAAACACAGTCTTGCTCAGTTTACCTTTGAGCCACCAAGGCTAGGCCATTTTTCAGGTATAGCTACCCACTTCTAAAACTATAATACAATTTTTATTGGATTATCTTTCAAGGCAAAAGTTAGTATGATATGATGGCATATGCAACAGACAACCTGCTTGCTCATGCCTACCTCTCCATTTGAATAGTGGTTGGTAAGAATACAATATACTTCCCACCCTAAAAGAGTGTTAAAATAAACAGAATTTCAGAAGCACTAGTCCATTTTTCCAAGATGTCTTCTTAAATAATTTATCAATGGGACCCAGAAGGAGTTGGACAATTACCACAGAGGAAAAGTATAATACCTAGTATTTTCTAGTAGATTCAAACTAAAAAAAAAACAAAAAAAAAAACCTCTCACACTCTTCTCTTCTAAATCATAAACTCTCTTTTGTCCTTAAGTCAAAATCTAGCTCACCTGATATGAGCTGAAATGATATGGAAGGGGAGAGAATCTAATTATTATCCCAACCATACCTAAATTCCTACATAAATAAAATTTGTCATGATCACCAGCCTAATATCAGCATTAGTCATAATTTACGCATATATTCCAAATACAGAAAGTAAATACTACGTGAACATTAAATTCTTATGTTGACCTCAAAGTAATGCACAGATATGGACACTGGGTAGGTCAAAAGTGTCCATTTGCCAGGCTGAAAATGCTCATTTATGTGAGTATAAATGTTCTTAAAGAAAATTATAGAACGAATGACTGAAAAAGAATCTACAATATTGTTGTTTGAAAAAAAAAAAAAGAAGCTACAAGTTTGGAAGGGTCATTTTCAGCATATTAAATGTAAACATGATTTTAGTGAGAAATCATAACAGAAGTTGAAGGTGGGAGGAAGAGCCTGGGATGGAGCATAAGTCAAGTCCCGGTGCAGGGAGGAGGCAGCTAAGGTTGACACACCTCCCTCTCATTCTGAGCCACACACACTGGGAAACACGAAACACGGCAAATCCGCAAATAACCACATCACTCAATGTTTCCTGATTACAACCGTTTAGATGGGTAGTTCATATCTTAAAATTCTTATTTGAGTATATTTTAAGGGATAAAATACTTGCCAAGTGCCTAAGGTAAAAAGACAAAAATTGAGACCCCCCGAAACTACAAAAACAGTTTTAAACCTACTATTTCTGTGCTTTACAAAAAAAAAGGAAATTCGGCTTTTAGTTCAAATTAAAGATATCAATCACTTACTAATGAAATTATTTATTCTGCTTTACTAGTAGCTTATTGGAAGCAGATGCTGCCATAGTAATCCAGTGCTGGCATCCCTACAGCATATTAGATACGCTGTCAAAGGGGCAGTAACTGCACTATTTCACATTATTTCAAATGTGAAAGCATTAATAGCTATAATAACAAGAATATCATTAAAATAATCTACTTCTCAATAATATAAAACTAATAGACAACCTGGCATTCCCTTGCTTGCAAAAAAACAGTGTTTTTAAAAATCTAAACCATGATGTGATGAAATACAAAAAAAATATTCTTTTCTAAACTACTCATTTGCTATCATTTTAATCCTTTAAATTCCTCCCCCACTGCCATCATTTTAAGATACGGTGACTTAGTTCTCTCGTTGTATGCAATAAGGCTGTGTTTAAGAAATAGATTTTACCATATATAGTTTCCTCTTTATAGCACTGTGGTTTAAACTGGCTCTTACTTCCTACTGAGTCATCAAATGCTAAGAACATGAACAGTTCTTAGCATTCTCTCAAGCAAAAATGAAGAAAAACTCCATCTACAATTGCTCTAAAAGTACCTTTCTTGCCTCAGAAAATAAAAGATTTATGAAGCCTCATTTAGGCTTAATTTGTATTTTTCCTTTATTAATTTTATCTGATGGTATTGACGTATTAATTTAATTGTATAGTGATTATTCTGATCTCACACCATCAAAATATTTATTGTGTTTATTCCAAAGCATCTTGGAGGGTAAAAACAAACTTGGTTTTGGTTTATTTCTGTTTCAAACACTCCTAAATTCAACATATAAATTAGCATAAGCCTGAGAAAGCAGGCCATAATCAACTACAACTGTGAATTATAAATGAATATATAATTATCCTAGCATTATAAGCTACTTTGTATCACTAAACCCTAAAAACTGTACCTGTCACACAGTAGGCACTTGTCTTCATTTTGTTGGTGAACTAACTCACTGCTGACAAAATCACTCAAGTCTGGTATAAGAATACACACCACCAGGGGCCTGGGCTCAACTCTTGAAAAGCACCTAAACCTAAGCAGACCTCCAGATTTTCATCTATCTGGCCACTTTCAGTGGCTATTTTACGGAGTAGGTTTGAACAAGTACGAAGATGAAGCACATAAATTACTGGAATAGGATGACTTTCCCTCCTGTAGGCTGCTCTAACGAGACACTGCTCTAGTTGGGGGCTAGTGAGAAGAGAAGCAGGATCAACATCCGGCATGTGATCATAAGATCTCACCTACTCTTAGAGCATTCGACTTAGGGCCTGCCAGAGGAGTTTAAAAAATCATCAACTTCTCAAACTGCCTGTAATTTTAAGACCTAAAATGTGTAAGAGACAAGTTGCTTTAGGGCAACAACTAATCCCACAAGTTTTTAGAAATTAAATTTGAATATCTTCTTGAATATTTCATTGTAAAGGAATCACTATACCTTCAGGTAACTAAATAAAATCAGGATGACTATGAAGTATAAGCAGTAAGAAACAGAATATAGACTCTAAATGGTTCCTAATCCTCTAAATTTTCAGAAATATCACAGCATCCTGATTACGTATTATATCAGAGCTCTTTCTTCATTTGAAGTCAATCGTGTCTATAGAAAATCTGGATAAAATTTAAAGACAACTAGAAATGTAACACCAAATACATTTTTGTTTGAATTAACTACATTTTTTCTATTTATGTCATAGTAACTGATCCCTTGTCTTAAGGAACAAGATTCTTAAATTATGGATTAGACAAGAGACTAACCAATAATACACAATCAGCTTTCAACACAGCTAAAATAATAAAATAGTAACATAAAAATGAGCTCATGGTTAACAGTCCTATTCTAAGTGAATATTGAAAAGCTCATTATATTACAAGTACAGGGTTCATTACCATTCAAAAAAGAAGAATCCAATAAAATATAGCTGGCTCAGATTTCTAAAGAGAATACCTGACAAAACAAAATATTAGCAAAATAAAATATTTTAAATTCAATTTTTAAAGCTTTAAATTTATTTAGAAGTCAATTTGGAACTTAAATTCTTTAAAAAGCACCTTTAACTGAGTTTTAACTGTAAAAGTTATACACATTTATAGTTTCTTTAGTTTAAAGATAGCTTAATACATGTTTTGCTAAAAAACAAAACAAAGAACATTTTTCCAATAATTCGGAAGTCATGAAGTCTTTCCTATCTTCCCTCACTTCCTATTCCTAGTCTCACAGGTAACCATATGAACATTCCTTACGCATCCCTCCAAAACTTTCATATACAGATACAAGTTTGCGTACATATAAATATCTTTAATACAGAAAACACACATAAATAGGCTCATTCTAAAATTTTTTTTAAGTTAAGACATGTTTCCATAGCAGTGGATCTGCCTTTTTTAAGTATTCTATTTTGTATGGATGTCCCATTATAACACTCTTCTTACTCTTGTTCATTTTTAACTTAGTTCAGAAAGCTAGTATAATTATTGCTTGTAAAAATCTCTAATAAATTCAATCAAGGGAAGTATTATGGTAGTGAATATTAGCTTTTTTTCCCCCTCAACAACCCAGTTTCCAAAGTGTTTTAAAGTTCAAGTAAAATCTATTTTAATTCATATGTCACATTTATGGAAAGCAGGGGAGAAAAGTCACACAATATGCAACTCCAAAACGGTTCGACGTTACTGTAATGAAGGGGAAATGATCACTACAGAACTCATCCAAAATAAATAACATTTCCGTCTTTTAATCTGCTGACTTTGCTGCCCAAAATACATTTTTTAAAGGGGGTGGGCGTTTGAGATAACTTTCAAATAATTTCTAAAAAAGTGTTTTACTCAGATTTTTACAATTATTTGCATTTTAGAATCTTAGTGCACCTAAGGAAAAAAAGGAAGAGGGGAGACCAAAACTGATTACCTTCCCCCAAGGTCAGTGGAATTAACCCTTCGGCCTTGCGGGGTCCTAGATCTCCCAAGATCATTCAATGGAACATGCTGGTCTCTGCGGGGCTGCCCCTGGGCCAAATTCCCAGCGCGCAGAACGAAAAAGTAAATGATGTGCTGCTATCTAGCCTCCCCTTCTCTCAAAAAAAAAAAACCACACACAACATAACTCTCTAACACTGCGAAAGGGCTGAGGCTCCTTGCATGACAGCACTTCCCTTTTTTTCTTTAAACTCGTTTCCTGCCTCTCGTTCGCTACCTTCAACTATACAGGAAGAAGAAGGCCTCTAGGTCTTTCTCCGTTTCACACACCAGCGACCGTGGGGAACGGAGCCCTTCTCGAACACACAAACCCAGCCTTTTACCCCTCCGGCCCTTTAGCCAAATTGCCCCCGCTGGAGCGCGGCGCCGGCCCTGCCGGGCAGCAGGTGACATGCCCACCCAGCGCCGGCCTCGCCCGCCGCCCTGACCCAGAAGGCGGCCGGGGCGGGAGGCTCCGGGAGACCTGGGTCGGACCGGGCCCGCCAACTCCCCACGCCCGCGGGGGCAGGCAGCGCTGGCCCGCGCCCCTTCATCCCGCCGGCCCGAGGGCCCAGGGGTGCAGCCCCGGACGCCGAGGGCCCGCGCGCCCCCCCCACATCCCCGCCGGGCCTGTGGCCGCCGCGGCTCCCCGCTGGGCGCTTACCCCAGTGCCGTTGTCACACACCACCACCTTCCTGCCCTGGCTGTCCATCGTCCGCCCGGAAGAGAGCCGCCACCACCGCCGAACAACCTACAGCCGCCGCCGCCGCCCGGCCCTTTCCTCTTCCTCTTCCTCCGCGCTCGCGGCCCCTCCCTCGTCCCAACTTTCTCCCCCCAACCGGAAGTCTCCTCCCGGCCCCCCCCCCCCCCCCATTTAACTGACGGCCTATGCGGAAGATGTGGGGACAGGTGGGAGGAGGCCGAGACTGGCAGCGGTGAGCTCCTATAAGAAACGGAGAAGCGCCAAGGCCCCGCCCACAGCTCCAGTTCCGGCTCCAGCCCCACAGTCACCGACACCGCCCACCCGGGATTCTTCCTCTCAGCATTTCGTTCCCCGGGCTTCGCCGGGCGTTGATGGCAGTCAACCTGGAGGGTGTTGCGACTTTCTCCCTCAGGCGTGTCTGGAATTGAGGGCGCCTCTCATCCTGCTGCAGAAGGCGCAAGCAGGTGAAGGACACCGGGTCTGTCGCGAGATGGCAATGGAATGTGGCGGAAAAGCCAGCCGTGTGGGGAAGCAAACCTGGAGGTGCTTGCCCATCCCACCGTTGAACATGGCTTGGTGTGCTCTTGCTTCTAGGCCTTTTCAGTGGACAGAGCCTTAATGGATACACCCACACACACATATTTGAAATCATGCATTTATACCGATACCTCCAATTCCAGCCCAACTCTTCTTTGCCCAAATTGTCTTTAGTCAAGTGAATGAGAGTGGGTGCCTACATTTCCAGCCTTATAACTCACCACTTCCCTCTTCCAGCAGCACCGTGTTGCTTCACACCTCTTAAGTATATGTACCCATTTGAACCCAGAGCCTCGGCTTTGAAATAGACAACCCCAGTTTCAAATCTAGCCCTGCTACTCAAGAGTTTTGTTGATTTGGGCATATCCTTGTCTGTGCATGGGTGTAATAACCTCTACTTCCGTGGGTGGTTGTGAGGATAAAATTCTGTGCATAGAGTAAGCATCCATTCAGTGGTAGCTATTTATTATTAATTCCATATTTTTAAATGTGCAGTTCCATCTGTGATGCCCCTACCTTTTTTCTTTTTAATCAATTGGGAGACTTCGACTGGTGCTCTAAGACCCAGTTGTCACTCTCCGAAGACTTTGCTGATAACCCTCAAGATGCTCTTTACTCTCTTCCTTTGTTGTTACTTTACAATGGATATATGAATAACATTATTGTGCTTGTTAAACTCAACAAATATTTATTGGATGAATGACATTAAAATTCATCTAGAAAAAAATGCCATCCTTTTCGAGAGGTGAGAACTAGAATTGTGCCTTCCACATGGCTGTACATGTACAATGACTAGAATAAAACTTGGATCATGAACCCCCCATTCAGTATTATAATACTAGGCTGCCTCTCCGTTTTCACTTTGTTCTTGTATTAGACCAGTGGTTTTCAAACCTTTATAAAGGCATAGAATGCTTTATTCAAATTTAATCTTATATGGAACCCCAACATATAAAATAGATCAAAGTAAATCTGCCATAGTGGTAGTTGGAAGTTTGAGAGGTTAGGATGGGAAGGAAGCCTCAGGGAACTATGTCTTCCCCAACCCTGCTTCAATAGTCGTCGAGGTTCTTCAGAAGCCTGCTGAACTGTGTATTAGTTCATAAATTATACATCTTATTTTTGTGACCCCAGTGCCTAGCACTGTGCAGTTTTCCTGGAAGCACATTTAATTGGTCTCAGCAAATTGAACTCAAGCATTTCTATGTCCTTTTACTTTTCCTCTTTATGAAATTAAATGGATTACTGATTTTTACTTTTTTTTATTTCTTTTGTGAGGAAGATCAGCCCTGAGCTAACATCCACGCCAATCCTCCTCTTTTTGCTGAGGAAGACCGGCCCTGAGCTAACATCTATTGCCAATCCTCCTCCTTTTTTTCCCCCTTTTTCCCACCAAAGCCCCAGTAGATAGTTGTATGTCATAGTTGCACATCCTTCTAGTTGCTGTATGTGGGACGCCGCCTCAGCATGGCCGGACAAGCAGTGCGTTGGTGCGCGCCCAGGATCCGAACCCGGGCCACCAGCAGTGGAACAGGCTCACCTAACCACTAAGCCATGGGGCCGGACCTTGATTTTTACTTTTTAAGAATAACATTTGTTGTTTTCTTCTGATTGTAAAAACAATACATGCAGATGACAGAAAATAGCAAACATCTATTCACTACACAAATGAAAATGTAGCAAAACTCCTTGATTATGCAAATTCAGATATAATACTATTGGTGAATGGTTCCTGCCATTTACACCAGGTGAATCCTGGTCATTTTACTTTCCTCAAAATACTGTGCCCACCCCCCCACCCCACCCCCGATTTTATGTAATTGAATTTTTCAGGAGGGGGGCTTCATTTCTAGCCTTCAGTTGAGAGTTTGCGTACGTTATTCCACACAAAAATCTTGCCAGATAGATATCCCCATTTTACACATGAGAAATGGGGGATTTAACAAAAATTAAGTCTAGCAAAGTCATAGGGTATAAGATCTACATATAGATATCAGTGTATTTATATATGCTATCAGTGAACAATCTCAAAATGAAATTAGGAAAACAATTCCATTCACAAGAGCATCATAAAAATCTGAATAAATTTAATGAAAGTAATGTAAGACCTATACACTGAAAACTATAAAACATTGTTGAGAGAAATCAAAGAAGATCTAGATAAATAAACATACCATATTCATGGATTGAACACTTACTGTTAAGATGATAGTTCTCTCCAAATTTATCTATACATTCAATGTAGTCTCTATCAAAACTCCAGCAGGCTTTCTTCTTTTTAGAAATTGACAAGTTTGATCCTAAAATGTATATGGAAATGCAAAGGAACCAGAATAACCAAACAATTTTGAAAAAGAAAAGCAAAGGTGGTGGGCTTCTATTATCTGATTTCAAAACATATTATAAAGCTACAGCAATGAAGACAGTGTGGCATTGGCATAAGGATAGACATATAGATCAACGGAACAGAATAGATAGCCCAGAAATAAACCCTTACATTTATGGTCAATTGATTTTCAACAAATATGCTAAAACAATTCAATAGGGAAAGGGTAATGTTTTTAACAAATAGTGCTGGGACAATTAAATATCCATGCATGGTGGGAGAGAAGAACTTTGATCCTTACCTCGCACCATACATAAAAATTAATTCAAATGAATCATAGACCTAAATATAAAAGAGCTAAAACTTTATAAATTCTGGAAAACAGGAGAAAAACCTTTTGATGTTACGGTAAGCAAAGATTGCTTAGTTATGACACCAAAATCATGATCCATTAAAAAAATTGATAAATTGGACTTAATAGAAATTTAAAACTTTTAATTTAGGTATTAAGAAAAAAAAAGACAAGCACAGACTAGGAGAAAATATTTGCAAATCATATATCCAACAAAGGACTTGTATCCAGAATAAGGACACATAATAATAATGAGACAAATTACCTAATTTAAAAGTGGGCAAAGGGCCAGGCCCGTGGCTTAGCGGTTAAGTGCGCACACTCCGCTACTGGTGGCCCCGGGTTCGGATCCCGGGAGTGCACCAAGCACCGCTTGTCCGGCCATGCTGAGGCCGTGTCCCACATACAGCAACTAGAAGGATGT